ACACTGGAACTATCCTGCTTTGCTTTTTGCTTCCTTAAAATACTTATTCTGCCACTCAAACAAAGCCCCTTTCCTAACCTTTGATAATGCAGCTAGTGGGGCTGTTTGGTGCCGATACATTTAGAATGAATGCTCCATCATAGCCACTGTTGCCTAAAAAGGATCCCTGCTCTAAAAGCATTTGGTAGCAGAAGGGGAAAAATCTTGGTTTAGACAAGAACCCGAAACTAACTCTGCTGCAAATTGGGTATGATTCTCAGGAGAGCTGGCTCTCTCATGAGACAGCTATCCTATCCGTTTGGTTTTGAACTGTCATTCTTTCTCCAGGTATGTTGGCACTTCTCTTTCAATAAGAAGCACAGATGCGTGGAAATTAAAACTGGGCCCAAAGCCGCAACATTCTGAACCACCTGAAAGTTCCAGGGTTCTGGTAAGGCCCAATGCAGATGGGGACCAGTTTGGTTTGGATTTAGGAAGATTTGGGTCTGACTCGAACCTAAAGAACAGGTATTTGGATTGTGCCAGCTCTAAAAATAAAACACTTCACAGAACTTTCCATTTCCCCCCCAACCCTGAAAGGTTCTACGTGAGTGGGGGACAGAAAGTTGGTTCTGCACTTATCTGAACTAGCTGTGTCGATCCCTTGTTCATAGCCAAAGTAACCGCTTACTGTTCCCTTTCTACCTAAGTTGACAGGGAGAGGCATGCCTTAGCACAAATGTGCTGGACTACCTGGAACTAGCCTGAAGGTTTACATTAGCTGCCTCAATTTTTTTTGTGAGTAAGACCCAGTGTAAAAGAACCCTGCCCTCCCCCTAACCCTCTTGTATACGCCACTTAGAAATGATCAGCATGGCTGGGACTCATCTGCTTTCTCAGGAAAAGAGCCAAGCAGAACTGCGCACAGATCTCATGGGCAGGGGCTGGAGGCCAGCAGTGGGGTGAAGGGAATATCCTGGAGTTCCCAAAAGAAAAGCCCAGTTTCTTGTCTGAAGTCACTGCAGATCCCTAGGGTTGAAGAAAGATTAGCAGAAGAGGTATGTGAAGACAGTGCCTTTCGAGAAGTTGTGGGGTCAGGCAAGAACGTTTTCCTCCCAGTTGACTCTCACCCTGGAAGGGCTCCCACCCCAAGGGCAAACAACACTGAAAACTGCAGCTTAGATGTACCTAAGCATCTAGTCCCTGTAAGTGTTAGCACTAGAATACCTGCCCTATGGGGAGGTCAGCACCTGCGGTCTCCCCTCCCCATATTCTTAACCTCTGTCCGTTTTAGCATTGCAGCTTTCCAAGCTCTTTCAGTGAAGTGAACCTCATGCCCTTTTTCCTAGGGTCAAGATCCCTTTTTACAGGTGAGAGGAAAGACTTGCTCAAAATCACTCAGAAAATCAATGACAGGGTAAGGACCAAACCCCAGAGCACCTGTCTCTACATCACAAGAGTATCTTTTCCTTGCGGGCATTGCACCGGGCAGGAATTTTCTCCTGCTTGTGGTGCCCTGGCTGGAAATGGAAAGGGTTAGATACACTCCTTCCCTGCCTCATTTTTCTAATTAAATCCTCCCTCCTGACATGCAGCATCTTTCCCTGCTGTTTGCTTTTCAGAAGCTAGCTCCAGCAGAGTTCAGGGAAGAAAATGCTGCCACTCAGCCAAAGAACCAGCTCTGCCTTCCCATCCCCCTCCCAAGCTGTGGCATCCCCTCCTAGAACTGAACCCTTAGTGCCTGTGTTACTTCTAACCCAGTATTTCAGTCCTACAATGCCCCCATTCATGCAGCACTGCCTCAGGGAGAGGATCCTCCTATGGGGGAGGAGGCCTGTAAAAATGGGCCTCGTTATCATGTTCATATAAATCGCGTTCTGCAGCTTTCTTCCATAGCAAGCCTGTGTCATCCACTTATGTGCTTCTTTAAATCCCCTTCATGTTTTATTTGTGCATTCAAAGCAGGCAGGAAATACTCTAGTCAAGGGAAATACAGCAGCTCCTCAGCCCTATAAAACTTGACGCCTCTGCTCCTGACCCTGTGGGATGTGATGCAAAAGCATGGGGCAGAGGGGACAGAAACTTCCTGTCGATTTCAGCACGCCGGGACGGAGCTGTTGCTGAGTGCCACCCATATAAGAGTTGTCATGAATTATGCATTCCTGGCTTGAAGGGAGGTTGGCCTCATCAATAATGAAGACTCACTGCTCTGCCTTCAGCACTGCATCCCTAACGCCTGCAGTTGGGGGATTGGTTAAATCGGCAGGGACGTCCTCAAGGTTCTCCGGGGCCACGGGGAGAAGAGGCTGCAGAAAGCAGGCTGATGCACGACATTGCAGAACCTTCCCGGGCATACAGAACGTGAACCTGTACAGCCCCCATGCTGCCCTGCCAGCAGCTCTGCTCAAGTGCTCACCTGTAGACACACACGACACAAACATACAGCCAGAAATGAAGATGCCCAAAATGACTGGGAATTTTTGAAAAATGTGGTTTGAGCAGCTGACATTCACTGGGGGCACTCGCATTAACAGACCCTTAAAACTTCCTACCTGTCAGGGTGGTTAAATGCTGGAATAAGTGGCTTGGGAAGGTTGTGGAATCTCCGTCACTGTAGATATTTAAGAACAGGTTAGACAGACACCTGTCAAGGATGATCTAAACAGTACTTGGTCCTGCCGTGAGGGCAGGGGACTAGACTCGACCTCTCAAGGTCCCTTCCAGTTCTAGGATTCTTTGACCCTAGATGTATGTATCAGGTGGTTGGATATTACTAGTAAATGGCTCTTCCCTTCAGGGTGACAGTCTATGGCCTGGTCTACTCTACATAATTAAGTTAATTGATGTTAGGTCAAGTTCAGCCTCCCTATTAATTGCTGTAGCTTTTCAGGTCTATTCAACTGTAGCGGGTTCACTCACTTTTCACACGGCTTCTCACTTTTTTGCCTGGATGACTCCCTCAGGGTGGCTTGTGGGGAAGTCACCCGCCGCTCCGACGTGCCCCCTTTGGGTGAGGTGTTCTCTTCAGGTCACTGCCCTCTAGCAGTGACCACTCTACTGTTCGTCCACGCCCCCTTCTGGGGGCGGAGGAGTCACTGTTCTTCCAGTACTCCCAGGGTCCTCCATACTCCCGGGACCCCTAGCTCTTCCCAGGATCACTCAGCTCCTTCCTGAAACACCCAGTTCCTCAATCTGCCCAGGTCCCTCCTGCACCTCTGCCTTTGTGCCTTCTGGCCTAGGGCTTCCCTGGCTTGAGCCCCCCCAGCCTACCGCAGCTGCCTCCGTGCAAGCCCCCAGCCTTCATGACTGCCTCCATGCAGCACTGGGCCTCAGGCCGGGTAGTCTGGGTTCGCTGGGCCCAAAGCCTGCAGCCCTGTGGTAGCAGACAGGCAGAACCCTCACTTCCTACCAGGAGCTGCTCTTATAAGCTCCAGCTGGGCCCTCCTTAATTGCCCTCAGCTGGGCTTCCCCCTGACTCCAGGTCTCCCAGCCCCTTAAAGAGCCAGGACAGGGCAACACCCTGCTACACAACCCTTCTGCCAGTGTTTCACATCCTCTCCAGCAGCACTTCCATGGAGGGGTAAAGAGCCTGCACAGAGAGAGGCAGGGCTTGCTGCGTGGGTCTTAGGCTGCCCTTACAAATTATGGGGACCTATGCAACTAGGGGACCTCTGCAAGGCTTCTGCCAGGGGCCCAGAGCTTTCCTCCCTCCCCCCCCTCCCCCCATACCCCTTCTTTTCTCCTCCCCCCACCCCGCCACCATTCCTTTTCCCCCTCCCACAGTTCACCAGGATCCAAGCGCTTCCCTGAGGCTGGAGCAGAGCTGCAGAAGCTGGGGAGCAGAGAGCCCTCACTGGGCAGCTGCTGCTGGCTGAGAGGAGCATGTGAGCGGGGGTGGGCAAGGGATGGGGTGGAGGGGAGGGAACAAGGCAGGGAGAAGCCCTGCAGCAGACACAGGGAAAGGCTAGAGAGGAACCAATAGAGCTGGTTAGTGGTCTCCTCGGGTATACACGCCTGCATTGCTGTGTAGAGGCACCTGAAAATTTGGACCCGTGCAGCCGAGTATTTAGTTTATGCCTAGTGACTGCTTTGGTGATGCTGACAGATGATATAAGTAGCAGTGTCTACGCAGACACTGCATTGCCCTAACTACTCTGCCATAACCCCTACACTTCTTCTGGAGGTGCAGTTACGTTGCTGTAGTAGGGCACTGAGGGCACGTCTACACAGTCATTATTTTGGAATGACAGCCATTATTCCAAAATAATTATGCAAGTGTCTACACAGCAATTCCGTTATTTCAAAATAATTTCAAAAAAACAAAAGGGCTTATTCCAACTTCTGTAAACTTCATTCCATAAGGAATAACGCCTATTCCAAATAGCTATTTCGAAATAGCTACAGTGTGGATGCTCCACTGGTGCTGTTTCAAAATAGCTCCTCCCCAGGGCCATTCAAAGGAATTACTCCCCAGTGCCTCCTGGAGCTCTAAATCAACGTAGCGCGTGTACATTAGGGGAGCCTGCCTCAGACTAATTTTGAAGCTTCCCTGAAGTGTAAATAAGCTATTTTGGAGTATTTCTTCTGGAATAGCTTATTTCAAAATAAGCGTGCAGGGTAGATGTATCTTTATATTGGTAGGAGCAAGGCTGTAGCACATACATTGATGTAATTGGGTAAGCAGTCCTACATCGACCTGACTCTCTAGTGTAGACCTAACCTAAGCTTACAGATCTCAAGGGCAGACTGCCTACCCCAGTATTTCCTTGGACTCTTCTCCTCAGCATTTCCCCTTACTTTGCTCCATTCCCCTCTCTGTCCCAGTTTGTATCCTCCACTAGCTCTGCCTTCCTTCCATTCTCAACCCCTGGGGCATCTCTCTCTCTCTTCCCCAGCCCCTTGGTGCTCCCGGGAGAGGCTCAGAGAATGGGTTCTGCTCCCTCAAAAGTGATAAGTGTGTTTCAGAGAATGGGCAGCTGAGCCACGTGAGCGGGAGAGTGTCACCCTCCAAATGCTGGGTAGGGCAGGACCCTGCACTGCAGCCCCACAGCAGCTGCATCCCTTTTCCATGATTCCATTTCCCCCCACCTGTAGAATGGGGAGACTGACCTGGAACTCCTCCACCAGGCAGCTGGAGGGTTATTTAATGCCTGGAAAGTGCTGTGGAGCTGGGAAGCGCTAGGAATGTGTTCTGTATTGTTATTGATGCTGTATGATCCCACTTTTCTTTTGTTCTGCTGCATCCACATTGTCATTTTCCAGCCTCGGCCTTGTCCCGGTTATGAGTTTACAGTCATTACAAGGGCAGTAGACTAGGACGATGAACGACAAGGCTCTCCCAGACCTGGGTTTCCTGAGCACATGTAGCTGACTAGCAAACCCTAGGGTGCTGTAGCTTCTTCCTAACACAGCCCGCCCCAGCCTGGCTCTCCCTTGCCTTAACCTGAGTAGGCTTTCAAGCCATTTCCAAGGTCACCCCATAGTTTGGGTTCTCCCAAGGCTGCCATCTAATCCTGTTCTCCTGAGCA